CACCACACCTAAATCCGTGCTCCGCCAGCCCCACAGTGGGCAGTCTGTAAACACTGGCTTCCTGGACAAATCACTGCGTTGCAGCCCAAGAGGCTTCATGCTTCTGTTGATGCTGGGAAATTTCAGAGCACAATTCCTGCCCGTTTCTCCCCTTTGCAGTTTGGCTTATAATGCAGCATCCTGGGAACGGTTCTTCCCTCCTTGCTGCACATGGATGTTGCAGAAGCCTGACTTACGGGTTTCTTAGCAAAGTTTTCTGAAATGTTCGTTCTTTTTCATAGTCATTTAAAGCACAAGATTTAGAGTCAGACAGATCTAGGATCTAGCCCTGAGTCTACAACTGACTAGCTTGGTTGCCTCATCCGTGAATTGTTGGTGTTATTTCTAAATCTTACCTGGCTTTCCAGCTGTGACTCGAGTTTAATAGTCTCATCTTCACTGGGAAGACTTTTCCATTCTTCATTCTTCCAAACTTGTGTGCAGGTCAGGCCAACAAACGCACAGGAAACCTGCTCTGTGCCAGGCCCCATCGCAGATGTACCAGAGGGGCATCCTGGTACAGGGGCATCCTGGTACATGGTCCACCATGGGACCTGGTACAGAGCAGGTGCCCCCAGCATCCACCATGGGACCTGGTACAGACCAGGTGCCCCCAGCATCCACCATGGGACCTGGCACAGAGCAGGTGTCGCCTTATAATAGTTTCAGTTCTCTGATTCATGACTTAGAGGGGAGATGCCAAAACCTGAGGGGGATTGTATCAAACCCAGATGTTACCTTGAAAGAACCTGCTTTTCTTATTCAACAGCTGAAGGAGGAGTACAGAAGTCAGATATTTCACACACACACACACACACACACATAAATACACACAGCAAAGATCCACACTCTCTTCCTCAATGTGGGGCCACTGCTTGGAGACAGCTGAGCCAGGGGCTACATTTCCACCCTCTTGCCTCCAGCCAGTGATGCATTTCGCTTGTGGGCTGGGATTCTTAGGAAGCTGATGTACCGTCCCCACTATCTCTTTCCCTACTCCCAGGCTAAATTCAGAACATCATAAACTTCAGTGGACCGAGAGCCACATGACCAAAGGAGCCTAGATCCCAGAGGAAAATGATTCATGCGTCCTAGAGCAGGGACGTCAGAACTTTTCCGTAAAGATCCAGACAGTAAATGGGAGAGATGAGACTCAAATCCCAGTGAATCTGACACAGAAGTCTGTGCTTTTCCCCCAAAACCAGGCCATCTCCCTCTGTCATTTCATGTCACCGAATGACACACCTGCAACCCTGGCTGTCTGCCCTGCCTGTGAGGTTAATTTCTGTACAGCTCAGGGCCCGGCTGGAGGAATCCCCCTCCTGCTCCAGTGGCCTGTAAGGGCACAAGGAGGCTCCAAGTCCTATTAACTGCATCGGCTTCCTCTCTGGGGTTGAGAGAACTTTATCAACCAAGCGTCAAGTAGGGGACAACAGCCAGTGGAAAAAGGAGAGAGTCATAAGGGACGATCACTGAATAAGAAGGGGGCAACACAGAGGAACCTGGCCTCATTTATGTCCTCAAAAGATGCTGCTCTCTCGGCTAAGATTTTCCTGAGCAAATATGGAAAAACAGTTTGGAGCCCATGCAGGGAAATTACTACTAGGTTCCCGCAGGTCTTTGCAGGTTCAGCTACGTGATGAGCCTGAAGAGAGAGGCTGGATGTCTCACTGTTTCGACTCTCTCCACCTGGCCTCGAGGAGACTTGCCCCCAAAGGTGAAAGGAATTGGAAAATGAACTTACTAAGAGCCAGACAGTGATTTCAGAAAACAACCACCAAACCAAAGTGAGCGGGCGATGGTGGGTGGGGGCCATGGGGCAGGCAGAAGGGGCTAAGAGAGGCGTGGAGATGAAGCCCAGGGTCCTGCTCTCCAGTTCCTCTTTGCTCTTGCTCCCCGCACACCTGCTTCTCTGCTGACTGCAACATGACGGCAATGGTTATCTCACTTCAAAGCACACGGATAGCTCCGTGAGTTCACAGCACCATCTCTAGAATCAGAGGAGCTGAGTTTGACCCTGGCTCCATCAAGTACTAGCTATATTTTGAGAAAAGTTCTTTATCTTGCTAAGCCTCATTTTTTCTGTTCTCCAAATGGAAGGCATAATACGCATATTTGCAGGGCTGGTCTAAAGAGGGAAGGAAATAGCATTAAGCGAAAGTTCAGGGCCTTTGCTTTTATTGTTCCCTCTGCCTTTCTGTGTGGCTTCCTCCTGCACTTCCTTCAATTCTCCTGAACAGAGAGACCCTTTCTGACCACCTAACTGAAAAAGCAACTCCCATCACTCTTTGACCCCCTTCTTGCCTTGATTTTTTTTGTCACAGCTTCATAATCAACTATTAGATATTTATTTGTTTGTCTATAATCACACACACACACACACACGCGCGCGCGCGCGCGCGCGTAAGCTCCTTGAAGATAGTGCCTTTGTTTGCTCATCACTGTGTTGCCAGTGTCAAAAGGAGTCACTCGATGCAGTCTGCATGCAATAAATATATTGATATAATAAAAAAAAATTGAACATATACTCTGAGCATTATGCTGGCCCAGAATGCTGCTTCCTTTTCACTTCCAGCTACTTGTTTCAAGGAAATAGGAAGGCAAGGAAGCCGACAAGTACTTACAGAAGAGCCATCCAATTTGGATACTGAAGTCCAGGCAACCCTCCTTGTCAGCCAGCTCTAAGAGCACAGGTGCCTGCAAGAATGATGCCTGTGTGCCTGGAGTACCCTACTCTCACTGGCCTTGGGTGTGAAACAAGTTGCATTGATCTTTACACATAATTTTCTTCTTAGCTACTGAATTTAATTTTAAATTTCCTGAGAACTGTATTACATCAGCTGTTCTCAAGTTCCACCAAGCCCTAGATTTTCCCAGTTGTCAGGTAGCTGCAGAGGGGGAGAGAGGGACCCACCACGGGGAGCTCCCATGAGCCCTGCTTCCACCACGAGGAAGTGGCAGAGTCCAGATGAGAACACAGCCCAGTCTGACCCCAGAGCCCACAGTCTTTCCTCCGTACCTCCTCCCCAGGGGTTGGCTTTCCTAAAATCAAACCTGATCAATTAACTGAGAACTTGTTTCATTATTCTAGCAGCTTCAGTACCGAATAGGTAAGACCTGTTCCTCAAAGCTACTCATATAGTTTCCTGATGAAAGGAGCAAGTGGGAAATGCAGGCATAAGAAAAGATGAGAAGGGTCTCCAATCATGTACAACAGAGACCCCAGTCCCAAGGCAAGCCGGGGAGCCCAGGATAGCAAAAAGGAACTGAGGTGGGAATCAAACTTTCTGAGCTCCTAATCTCTAAATAGGAATAATGCTTGCTCTTCCTATCTCTGGGGATATTATGTGAATCAGTGAATAGTGGATTTGCAGGCTCTTTGAAAACTTTAAAGTACACTCCAGGAAGACCTTATTATCTTGCTTCCATGACTGATGGTCTAGTGATTACTGCAGAATTTCAATAAAGGGAGAGCCTAGGGGATGGCAGGCTCAGTGGGGCCCTGGGGATGGCCTTGAAGTTGTACTTGAATAACAAGAAAATTGATTTTGTTTATACTGTAGGTTTTTCGGAGGTATCTTGAGGGAGCAGATAGAGATGAAGGGGAACTCAAACCCCAAACATCCCTTGACAGCCCTACTCTATGTGAGCTTAAGCAAATCAGTTGAGTGCTGCGTGCCTCAGTTTCCTTACTTGAGAAATGGATTGATATTTAAAACCACAATGACTCTGCAAAAGAGGTTTTGAAAGAAAAAAATGAGATAACAAGTTAAGAAAACTGAAGAAAGGGTTGGGTTTTATTGGAGTCAGGGCTCCTTACTCTAGATGGGGTATCTCTTTGGTCAGTGACTTTTTTCCATTCACCACATTCTG